GCTTTTATGGGGTTGGTGTGAGTGATATGCCGCAGAATTAGGCATGTTGAAGGATATGTTTGTGTTTATGTTTCGAGGCCTACATAAGGCAACTGCTACCCAAGTCAATTGGCTCTAAGTACCATATATATTTTTGTTTTCTTGTTGTTTAATTGAATGAGGAAATGCATATAGGTAAGTGGATTCGTTTTTTGTTTCTCCTTTAATGAAATGCATATAGGTAAGTGGATTACTCTTGGGTTTCTCCTTGAATGAAATGCATATAGGTCTAGACGCTTTTATGGTTTAATTGTCTGTTTTATGTTTAACGGTATATATATGGTTCAAATGCTTGATTTAGTTATGCGTGGGGTTGGTGTGAGTGATATGCCACATAATTTGGCATGTGATGGGATTTATGTATACTTACTGAATTTTGTTTTTCTAATTGTGTAGATGTCAAACCTTATTAGAAGTCATAAGGTGGTGATGACTGCACCCCGTTTGCCTCCCCCGACTCATCTATCAGCTGCCACTGCTCCAGCACAAATGGACCACTTGCTGATTGGTCCTGGGGTCTCCTAGGCGCTGGCATCATCAGCCTCATCAGTGGCGCTATCTGTTAGCGCCAGGCGTGGTCACCGCCATCCCCGCACTCCCGACACACCATCGACATCCACTACTGATGCCTTGAGGTCACAACAAGGTAAAGTTTAATAATGCCCCGCACGTTGATAACTGTTTTTTTCCTATGGTGCCTTGGTGATTTCACCATATAGACTGTTGTACGTGATATTAGATTACTTAATGATGCTAGGAGGGTGGTCATTATTTCTTTGTAGAGAACAACGTGTCTCTAAAAAATTTTGTTCAATTTTTCTGCTTAATTCTGAGTTTTACAAGTTTAATTTTGTTCAAAAATTTGAGCTCCAGCTGCTCTAAGTTCAATCTTTAGTTATTTAGGTAAGTAGAAAGAAAATGTGTGAAGCGGACATATCATTGTGCTTTTCAAATGCATATGCTTCCTTGAACTGAAAGTAATTGTTGTTTACTTATGCAAATTGCGGAGTTGGATTGTATTTACATTTTTTAATAGTGCATACAATGTTGGCAAAATTATAAACCTTATAAGGAATATCAAATATCAAATATGATATGAATTTGGTTAACTTAGTTTTGTTATTTTAGGTTCAGTTTGTTAAGTTATGTCATTTGAGGAGTAAACAGTTATTATATATATTGTTTATTGTTATCATCGTTTGGAACCTATTATTAAACAGTTGTGATCATTTTGTTGGATACATAAATTGTAATGTTATTTTCAGGTTTTTGGGAAATGTTTTAATTATAGGGAGGTTATGCCGAAATTTTAGTAGGATTTGTTGTAAGTTTTGGGTTAACGTTCATCACAGTCAAAGCGTTAAGTGACAACTTTGACAGCAGAGGTGCTGACCTTAGAATTGAGCTCACCTCGTATAGGAGTCAGATGTCACAAATTGTACAGGCCCTCGGTCAGTTAGGCATTCGTGTCCCGGATCTTCGTCCCTCGTCGACCTCCGAGCCTCTTCAACCCAAGCATGGCCACACCTCTACCCCTTCGACCTCTGAGCATGTCGACAACCTCGAGACCTTCCAGCCCCCTCCGTATGACGATCACATAGATTATGCCACATTATTTTCTTAGTTTTTTACTTCCTTACTTTTTAAACATTTTTCTTGTACATAGTACATACATTTATATTAATTTAAATATATTATTTTTCTCTTCATTACATTTTTTTAATTGCAATTTAATTTTATTACGAAAAAAATGTAATTTATTTTTATTACAAAATTAAAAAAAAACAGAACGTAAAATTAAATTTAAAAAAAAATATATTTTTATTTTTGTGCAAAACTCAAGCGACAAACAAGGTTTTGTCGCACAATAATAAATTGTCGTTGCGCAAAGTTTAGAGAGACGAATAATGATCGTCCCACGTATGTATCTTGGTATTTTGTGCGACGAAAACATTTGTTCCTAAAAATTTTGTGTGACGAAGGGTAAACTGTCGTGCCGTATTTTTGCGACCAATGATTTTTTCATCACGCAAAGTCTTTCTTCACAATCTTTTCGCGACGAAGTTTCTGTCGCAATGAAGTTTGTGAGACGAAAATACACTTTGGCGACCAACTTTGGTTCGTCGCACAAATAGTAAAACGTAGTAGTGTATGCAGCTATGTTGGTCCGCCTTGAGGCACATTACCTATTTTGGGCATTATGGTTGGTTACTGGGTACAAACCTGGCATTTTGTATTTACGCGTTTGAGGTGTGCATTTTCTATGCCAAGTTGCGCTACCGCAACGTACCAATATGGGTCCTCAAATAAGGATGTGATTGTTGTTGATTATGATTCTACTTTGACTTAGCTATTTACGGTGTGAAATCCCGTCCCCAAATTTCACTATTTAAATTTTCGTATTTAGTAATTACACCAATTTATCTCATTTTCGTAAAAAAAAATTAGAAATTTAGTTAGTTACAAGGTTTGATGTTTCATAATTAGTCATTCAAAATTTGTACACCTTTTGCGGTCAATCTTAGCATTTCCAAATAGAGTTCAATTCCACAAACTTGTAGGCAAAACCGTTTGCGAAACGGAACTATAATGAAGAAATTACGAGTAACGAAAGTCAAGGACAAAGACGTAATGTGGGCTTACTATAAAATCCCACATTGTGGGAGTGACCTCATTAGGATATAATATCCTAGAGGATATCTAGAAGTAGATATTGCATCCTCTTAGAAGTATGATTACTTGGGGTGCACGTCAATTCCTAGATTGTAAGAACTCCCAAACTTATAAGGATTTTGTTTGAGTCTATATCTGAATCAGATCTTATGTCTTGCGGAACAAGCATGGTCATTCGAGCAAAATCACTCGGACTTTGCCTATTACCATGGAAGAGGGGTGATGGTGGCATCGTTGCTCCATCTGGTCCAGCTACGCTCGAACTCCATGACCGGACTTCTAAAGTAATTGTATTCCGATCAGCCTTACTCTGTTCTTGAAAAATCATAGTCCCACAAATATTAAATTATATTGTCATTATTATTTTATTTTAAAATTTTTATTATTGCAACGAGCCAACTTCACGTAATAAAATGATTGTTGCAATAAAAGTAGTGCCGTATCACTAGTACAAAAAACACTTTACGTGAAGCAGGTCTTTTCGTCGCACAAAGTCAAGGTCCTTTCGTCGCACAAAGTCAAAAAACTTCGCGCAAAAATTTGCCCAACGAACCTTCGTCGCGCACCAACTGTCGCGCCAAGGCAGTGACAGTAGGGTTTGCGCAACAAAGAAATGACATGCGTCACACAAAACCACTTTGCGCGACGTAGGAACCTGTGTCACGCAAAACCACTTTGTGCAACGTATAACCTGCGTCGCGCAAAGTGGTTTTGCACGATGTATAACCTACGTCGTGCAAAGTGGTTTTGTGCAACGCATGTCACTTCTTTGTCGTGAAAACCATTTTTTGGCAAAAATATTTTTTATTTAATTTTTAATAAATATTGTATTTAAATTCTAAACAATAATTAATAAACGAAGAAAAAGTATTTAATTATAAAATATGTGAAATTGTACATACAAGATGTTCGAACAAAAAAGAACAAACTACAAGAAGTAGTCTTCTAGGTTTGATACATAAGGCTACTGAGTATCAGCTGGGCGAAGTGGTTGGGAGGTCGAAGGTAGAGCAAGATCAGGTGCTGGCATCGGGATTTGTTGGCCGAACATCTATAAGGCCCATACAATCATACTCATCTGCTCGCCCTGGGCCGCAAGCTGACCTTTTATTGTTGTCACTTCCTCCACATTGCAAATCTGTGATAAATTTTAAAGATTATCTGAATCACTATTTATAACAACTAAAACATGTTTCAAGATGCCTAGTAAACACTCTAGTAAGCAGACATTGTAATCAATCAATGGTACTAAAACTTCATTAGACTAATTGATATGATCAAAGTACCATACAAAAACAATTTACTTTGTACTAGCCATTCAAGCAGACACATGACCATAGAGACTAACTAGTAAACAAGTAGGAAGGTAACAGAAGCAACTAATGCAGTCATACAATTTATGACAATTGATCGCATGTAATTTATTGATCACTTTACCATGACAGTGACTTGACTTGACTTGAGTAACATCACAATTCGTGTAAAAGTAAAATAGACTCACAAAAATCGTGGACATAATGTTGAAACCCCAAAGACGAGTCCTATTCATATCATATATATCTATATGACCTAGCCTAATAAAGCGAGGTAGAAAGACTGGAGACCCATTTCCAGGGCTTCTGCAACTTGTAGATGGTCACCTTCAATCGCCAATAAGTTATGTATACCTTTCTATATTTGTATAATTATAAGTATAAGGGAGAGGTAGTTGTAATAGAACTCAGGAGCCCTCTAGCAAACATGTTCATTTTGTTATTTTTGGTGTGAGATTAGAAGATACAGAACACATTAGACAGTTTGAATTTGGAATGTGCAATAGAGGTGTAAACGCAAAATTTCAAAATTTACGTCTCTACAAGAGGGTTTAGGGTTCATGGCTAGTCCTTTACTGCAACTGACTGCCCCAAGGCCTATTCTTTTCAACTAGTAGAACATCATTGATTTCAGACAACACTACCTTTTTCTTCCTGCTTGATTTTTAGATTTTATTTCTTAGAACATAGCTATGGCATTAGGAGCATGGTTGAAGAGTAAACTCAAAGGTCAGAAAGCTCTGAACTCTATACACTCCTAGCGACATGCAGGAATCCCGGCTTTCGGGCTACATAGTGAAAATGTAAATTGGACAAACTAGGAATCAGCTGACTTCTTGGTAGTGCCAAGAAGATGCAATTTCCTTTCCTAGACAAAAACAAAGAATTTGGAACGTCTAGACACGGTATTTACTGAGTATTAACAAAAAGTATAAATACATTACTCATTTAAAAGTTGAAGGCTTCTGTGTGTAGCATCTAGCCCGTGAATAAATTTCTCTGTAGGACGCATAACTCTTCCAAAAGGCATTGGAAATTCAATACTGCCCCACCTGAAACATAGTAATAATAATGTAAGGTGGTATTGAAAGTAGTATGCTAAAACACTAGTAAATAGCTTGGCATATACATAACAAAATAGAGAAGGTAAAACCAACTGAAGTGAATGAAATTTACTTTTTGAAGTTCTTGAAAGTAGCAGTGTCATCCAGCTCGCCTCTCATATCCAAAGGATATGGCTTTCCATCAACCAATGCAAAAGGATTCATCTCCAGAAAAGTGAAGTCCAAATCTGGAATAGAATGATAATTAGCAAAATTGTTCTCACTTCTTACCAATCTAGTACGAATTGGAACGGTCCAAACTTTTTAACACACCTTGAAATAGAGCAAACACGGCTTTGATAAAGTCCTCAAGTTTTGCTTTGATCTATATTCAAGAATAATACTTGTCAATGATTTCCAGTTTAAACTAAAACGAACATGAACTCAAGAGAGATAGCATATAATTGACGCAAGCAAAATCGAGTACATTATTTCCAGTTTAAGCAAAATAGCTTTGCGAGACGTAGTTGCACCTACGTCACGCAAAGTTTTTTTTTTTTTTTTTTTTTTTTTTTTGCCCTTTTGCTTATGAGTACAAAATAAAAATAAATTAAAATTCACTTAGTAAATATATATACCATTGAACTTGATGGGAAACACATTATACGAAATTAGTTTCAACGATCCAACCGTCAAACTTGTTTGTATATACTTTGAGATCACATACGCCAAAAATCGCTAAAAACAAACATTTAGAGATCAAGCAACAGGACAAAACTTTTTGACGGTTATAAAAGAAAAATCACGATTTAACGGTTATTTTAACTCTAATTTTTTTACAACTACACTCTTTAAACCTATATGAATACAATGAACTAATTCGATCATCAATTTAAAACATTTACACAAGTGGATGCCACAAAAGAAAAAGGCAATGCAAGAACCCCAAAAGAAAAGTAAAAGAAAAAAAAAAAAAAAAAAAAAAAAAGAACTTTGCGCAACGAAGACTGGCGTTGCAAAAAGGCCATTTGCACGACGTGTTGTGTTTTGCGTTGCGCAAACATGATTTTCTACTAGTGTATGCATCATCAGCCGTGGCAACTGTACTGAATGACACTGTATTTCACTGTGATTTTGTATTGGTTCATTGCTTATATCATGTTGAGTGCCAAAACATTCAATAGGACTAACAAAGAGAGTTGTTTTTTCCGATAAATTAAAGAAGGTCACCATGCATAATTTGTTTATCCATTTTGTGTTGACAAATTGTGTATGGCTATATCTGTGCTTACATCTTCTGTAATCCATTTTCCATACATACATATCCCAAAGGCTAAACACAAAATCTTAAAGGGTTCCTTATACGTGTATCCCTTAAAGGGCATGAGTGTTAACATACGTAACGGATATAACCACACGCACTTATCCGCACACCATGATCTATGAAAATAAAAAAATAGGCTAAGACCCCTTTGCAAGTCCTCAAAGAACCTTGTGATATGCCTTGACCCTAGGATGACGTAACCTCCTCTCACCCTAAACTTTTTGTTAAAAAAAAAAAAAAAAAAAAAAAAAAAAAAAGGGTAACTTTGTCAAGTATTTTAATACACTATCCAAAACTCAATGATACCCAATATCTAACAATGCAAGGACGTAACCAACTATAACTACCATTGATATCCCTCCTTATCTACAAGCGAGAGTTGTCAAATTCGACGTACATGGATAACAATAACATATTATATTTATGTTGAATTTGATACCTAGTTAGTAACCTTGCCCAATACCCTACCTTTCCTCTCAAGTAAAATATCGTTGTTTTAAAAAAAAACAATGCAAGGATGTTTGTGTTAATTACTAAAGAGCTAATTGATCATTAAATGATTAATATGCTAAATACTATTAAATACTATTATAATACTTAGACTAAATAGAATCAGAATGTAACATGTCATAGTCAATTAGTCTTATTCGAGTTATCCGTTACCGTGATAGATAGTCGTCACCGTAAGACATGTAGACCTAGACTATCATGCAGTCGTCGGACGCTGCTAATCATATTTAGCATGCAGCACCACAAAATAAACCCCGTTCCGTCGGAACCCTAAACCTAGCAACCAGGCTTAACACTCCGTTTTAATCCGGACAAGACCACGTGGCGGTCATGTCAAGCATGGCCCACGACCCGCGGCCTCTGGTTATGTGGATACATTCGATGGCTCTCTGCCCCAGTTGCTTAATCCTCTCTCTCTCTCTCTCTCTCTCTCTCATCATCATCATCTTAAATCTCTCTCTCTCTCCTCTTTCTAATAATGCCGGATATTTCTTTGTCAGATTCCGGCAAACCCTTTCTTCGTCTTTATATATACCTAACCCCCTCCGTCTCCTCTTTAGCTTTCTCTCACATTTCCATCTCTCTCTATCTCTCCGTCTCTCTCCAACTGCTCCAATACCATCATCCACCAGCTCCCATTACACACTACTACTACTTTATGATCAAAACCTTGCCTATAAAACTCCAAACTGTATTGGGCATGAGGTAATAATCCTAACCAATCTCACCACATTTTCCAAAACTAATCATTACCCATTATTCAAACCCCAAAAGTTTTACTACCCATCAATTGTTTCCCTTTCGATTTCTGGTCACATCGCTCGATTTCAGAGGTTCCCAAAATCTGTGTGCGTTTTTGTCTGTGTGATGAACAGAGCTTTACCGGAGATGTTGAACTGTATGAACGCGCCGGGGACCTTCATCGCCGGAAACTGTACCGACATGACGGTGATGGAGAGGCAGAGGGACCGGATGAAGTGGCAGCAGTGCGACCATCATGATCAACAACAGCAGCAGATTCAGTATAATTTTGGGGGGAGCGAGCTTGGTGGGGTGTTCTCCCTTCCAATTCATGCTCAGGGGTTTCACGGTTTTCTGGGTGGTAACCCGGCAGTGAAACCCGACCCGAGTTCGGAAAACCGGTGGGCAGAATTGGGTTTCAAGTCTTGTGGTTTGGTCATGAATAATAATGGAACTGCAGGGTTGGAAGAGATGGGTAATGTTCTCAATAACAACATTTCCAGGACTTTTAGTTGCTCGCCCGCTGTAGCCGCTGAGAAGAGGTCAAGCGACACCGTTTTGTCTCAAAAGCTTAGCTTGCCGGCCGGGAAGGAAAGCTTTAAAAAGAGGAAGGCTGATGAGGTGCAGAGCAATAAGGTGTGCCCTCTATGTTCAACTTTCTAATATGTCGTCAATATTTGATCGAAAACATGCATTATCTTATTTTACTCATTTCAGAATTTGGAATTAAGTCCTCGTTTCATCCAATATCCCAAAAATGTACATGTATATATATACATTGGATTGTACTTTGTTCGTTTTTTGTGTTGTAGTTGTGTCTCTTGTTTTTTTTTTTTTTTTTTCCTTTATTTACTTTCTATTTTAAATTGAGCAAGTTTTTGGAATTTAAGTTACAAATTTCAAAAGGCCGTGAGAGAAGTATAGAATGTTTTGAGAGATTGGCTGATTACATATATATCTTTTTTTGGGATTTCCAGGCTGCAACTGCAGAAAGTGATAGCTCTGAGAAGAGAATGAAAAGTTGTGCAGAGGAAGGGGACTCCAAGATCACAGAGCAAATCAGCACAAAGAACAACGACAAAGAATCTTCTGCTGATACTTCAAAGGACAATTCAAAAGCTTCTGAGGTTCAAAAGCCTGATTACATCCATGTCCGCGCGCGGCGAGGTCAGGCCACTGATAGCCACAGCTTGGCTGAGAGGGTGAGTAGGACATATGGGGTTCAAATTTACATATAACTTTTACCGCGTGTAAACCTTGTTCTTCGATTTCGTGTTATTTATGCCTTGTGTTGGTCTCATGATCCTGCAGGTTAGGAGGGAAAAAATCGGTGAACGAATGAAGTATCTGCAAGATTTAGTGCCAGGGTGCAACAAGATAACTGGCAAGGCCGGCATGCTTGATGAAATCATCAATTATGTTCAGTCTCTCCAACGACAAGTAGAGGTGACATACATTTGATCTTTTCCCATCATTGGTTTAAGTACTTGGAAATCTTTTTATTGTTCTGTATTCTTAAACGGATCCGCTTCATAATTAACAGTTCCTGTCTATGAAACTAGCTGCTGTGAATCCGAGGCTTGACTTCAACATCGATGACTTGTTTGCAAAAGAGGTCAGTAATCTTTTAAGTTCTATAAGACCAATCAGTTTTTATCATTGTTCTAAAAATTTCCGTCTAGGCGCTTGGCGGTTGGTCACTGCCACGATTAGTCCGTAGGCATTTGAAAATTAAGAAAGGGCGCCTTGACCTGCTTAAGCGTCTGCCTAGCCCTCCTAGGCACATGCCTAGCCCGCTTAAACTTGCCTAGGCACCAACCTGGGTCATGACTCCCACTTAGACATTAAATCAATAACTTTCATTTTGGATTTTAGTTTTTCAATAAAATGTAATAGATTTGTTGAATACTTGGATGAACATTCATTATATGCTTGTTCCCCATGTTTTCAATAATACTTTATAATCTATATGTCTGTTTATTATGCAGTGTATGTATCTCAATACAATTATGTGTTTTTTTTTTTTAAGTATAAATAGGCATTTATTGATACAATATAATAAATTTACTTAAATCTGCCTGGTCTACTTAATGCCCGCCTAACCGCCTAGGCGCTAGGTCCTAACCCGTTACCCAACTAGCGTCCAACGTCTTTTAGAACCTTGATTTTTATAGATATCCCAATTACCATCCCTGTAGTTCTTAAAATTTGATGTGCAAACTTGCTTGAAATGGCTTAACAGGAAAAAAAATGTTCATTAAGAGAATAATGTTTTTACTCTTTTGGCGAACTAATGAAGAATTGTTTGTCCAAAGTTCCATTACTTATACTCTTATTTCGCTTCAAATCAGCAGATGTTTCCTACATGCGGGGCCAATTTTCAGACGATTGGTATGTCATCAGAAATGACCAATTCTGCGTATCTTCAGTTGAATCCAATGCAACAATTGGCATCTTGTGGGTTGGATATGGGGTTAAATTCCACTGATTTGGCGCTTCGAAGAACCATAAGCGCTCCTGGTTCGATCCCCCCCGAACCATTTCTTGACACATCCTGTTTCACTGTAATGTTTTTAAACTCTTGTGTCAGTTATATGGAACCTGTAAAATTTTAGCAATATTTTTATCGAAAATAGTATATGCCACTTGCAGCAAGCCCAACCTACGGCAATTTGGG